TGTACTCTGGCAATGAGAAGGAAAGGACGAGAAATCTTTTCGATGATGACAGCACTATTCACGCTCTTTTTATGCTCTCATCAACTTCACTGGGTCTTATTAAGCAAACTCCACATCCACAAATCATTTAGACTGGCCAGGGGTGTGCGATAGACTTACCTCCACGTGGTGCACCCTGAACAACGTATACTCATGCGGCAAAAAAGTTTATCAACCACCAGTTCACTTCTGAATTCAAACTACCATCACCACGCTGTATGTCATATTCGACCCCTTTGACAGTACTCATCTTACCTTTTCTCTACCTTTGTGTCTGTCTGCCTCTTTTTTTCATCTACGAATCGCTCTTCTGTTCCCCACCCCTCGACTTTCTTCTACTTTGATGAACATTCCCTCTGTGAAGCCCGAAGTCAGCTAAATGGCTAATGATAGCTATCAAAACGCCTGCCATTTGAAATAAATTTAGACTGGCCAATCAGATAAATAAGGGACGCGGTTATTTATTTATTTCAAATGGCAGGCATTTTGACAGTTATGATTAGCCCTTTAGTTGACTTCGGGCTTCACAGAAGGGAGGAACATTTAAGTGAGAAAAATTCGACAGGGGGAAAGAAGAGCGATTCACAGATGTAACGGACAGACAGACACAAAAGGCAGAGGAAAGGTAAGATGAGTACTGTGGAAGTAGTCGAATATGACATACAGTGGGGTGATGATAGTTTGAAGTGAGAAGTCAACTGTCAGTTAATAGACTTTTTTGCCGTATGAGTATACGTTGCCCAGGATGCACCCCGTGGAGGTAAGTCTATCGCACACCCCAGGAACGCGGTTATAGAGAACGGAATAAAGACCACTAGACTACTAATTAAACCATGGTGGGGGGGGGGGTTATATGGAGATAACCTTTAGTTGCCATGGTGTCCTACAACGCAAACCATTCTATTGTGTGACAGTGATATTTCCCTGTTCTTTTTCTTCATATTATCTCGATGGCTGCCTTTACCCCCAAACGACTCTTTGAGTAACACCTTTATTAAAAATCCTTCTATCAAGAATGAGTACATAGGTGACTGAACAATTAAACGATGCAAATAAATTAATTCTAAATATTTATTTATATCAAATGGCAGGCGGTTTGATGGTTATCATTAGCCCTTTAGTTGACTTCGAGCTTCACAGAGAGGAGGGACATCAAAGTCACAAAATTCGAGAGGGGGGAACAGAAGAGTGCTTCAAAGATGTAAAAGAGAGGGGAACAGAAGAGTGCTTCAAAGATGTAAAAGAGAGAGACACAAAGGCAGAGAAAAGGTAAGATGAGTACTGTGAAAAAGGTTGAATATGACACGCAGTGGGGCCATTGTAATTTGAAGTGAGAAGTCAACTGCCAATTAAAAAACTTTTTTGCTGTATGTGTATACGTTGTCCAAGGTGCACCACGTGAAGGTAAGTCTATCGCACACCCTCCAGAATATCTAAGTTATGGGATACACGTTCTTTGAGAGCATTCAAATTTTCCAATCCAGTAATAGCATTCTATCACCTAAACGTGTAGTGATGTCGAGACCACAATATCAAATAGCATTTCTATCCTATGCCCACTATGACATCATGGCTTGCAAATACAGAGTAAACGAAAATATAATTAGTGATTTATTGATTTGTTAACTTGGAAAATACTGTTCGCTAACGCTTTTGGGTGATTATAATCATACTACCTTTTGTCGCAATTAGGTACAGTAACTACTGTAAGTTCTTTAAATGGTAAGTCTCTTGAAATACTATTAAGTACTTTTGTAAACTTGTCCTTTCTCATTCGTATTTCACAAAAAATGAATAAACCACCGGTTTTATTGTAGAATTTAATTCGACGTCTGAGCCTAAACTTCCAACCAATCCAATTGTTTCTGATGAAAGTGAGTTTTGTGTACTTTCAACATAAATAAATCCTTCTACCTCGGAATACTAATGAATCCACCCTCTATTAATTATTTTTAATAGTTCAAATGACAAATTAGAGAGGTTTGAGCTATGATACTTTCACCCATTCATCCGTCCCCTTGCCTTATTTCTGAAAAACCCGGTTCAATGTCTAAACGTTTCATTTTTGAACTCAAGCCTGATCCTGTTTACACTAGGATCTCCTGATATCAAGCTATTAGTGGTCGGAGGAGATTTTACGAAACACATTTGAACTCGTTGAAGTTATTCGAGTATTAAGATAAACCACCATAAAGGATAGTCAAGCAAGGTGTCTGAGTCGCGTCTATGAAAATGGAGTTTTGAGGAGGTGGAGTCGAGGGACACCGAACACATTTCCACGAATATAGTAAAAGAGGTTGGGAAGAATTTGAGAGAGGGGGCTGTTATGAGGAAATAGAAAAAGTCGAAAATGGAGGGTGAATTTGGCTGCCAGTACATCACAACCATGGGTTTGTTTTTTTATTAGTAAAAAAGATTCAGCCATAGTGAATAGCAATAATCTATCTATACCAAATATCAGGTGTTTTGATAGTTACCATTAACCCTTTAGTTGACTTCGGGCTCCACAGAGGAGAGGAATATCAAAGTGAGAAAAATTCGAGAGGGAAGAGAAGAGTGATTCATAGAGGTAAAAGAGACAGATAGTCACACAGGTAGGGAAAAAGGTAAGTTGAATAGCGTGGAAGTTACCGAAAACGACATACGGTGGGGTTCTTGGTAGCTTGAAGTCAGAAGACAACTTCAGGTTTATAGACTTTATGCCGTATGAGTATACATCGCCCAGGTGCACCACATGGAGGTAAGTCTATCGCACACCTTGAAATTGGCAATGATAATGTTTTCATTTGGAAGCAAGAAGACTGCTAATGAATTGCTATTAATTAACTGCTATAAATGTACCCCCCCCCCTCTTGGGGGAAGCTGAAGTCAAAGATTAAGGGCTAATGATAAATATCATAAAGCCTGCCATTTGAAATAAATAAATAAATAAATGTTTTCATTTGGAATCATAATAAGCCTTCCAAATTCGGCCTAAAAGAAACTGTTTTGCATATATACGCGTATAGGTTAGATTGCACCGCCTTGATTGAAATTAGTCAGGGTGGAAGGCATTCTTGAAAATAATTGCTGTCCTGCGCATTATTACCCAAGGCATAGAAGCGTAATGTTGCGCTAATGTTTCCGCTCACTGTAGCTTGATCATAAGTTAAGTGAAGTTTATTGATTTCTTATGTCTAACCTTTTCAACTAACCGCTTACAGTCATCAAAATTTTATTTCAAATGGCAGGGGGGTACATTTATAGCAGTTATTTAATAGTGGAAAAACTTTGACTTCATCTTCCCCCAAGGGTGGGGGGGGGGGTACATTTATAGCCTTAATCTTTGACTTCAGCTTCCCCAAGAGGGGGGGGGGGTACATTTATAGCGGTTATTAACACAGCCCATGGGTGGGGGGTACATATATAGCAGTTAATTAATAGCAGACATTAGCAGTCTTCTTGCTTCCCAGTATCTTTGGCTTTCCTGTAGCTGTCTTCTTGCTTCCCAGTATCTCTGGCTTTCCGGAGTAGCTGTCTTCTTGCTTCCCAGTATCTCTGGCTTTCCGTAGCTGTCTTCTTGCTTCCCAGTATCTTTGGCTTTCCGTAAGCTGTCTTCTTGCTTCCCAGTATCTCTGGCTTTCCGTCGTTAGGGCTGGACATCGAATCAGGTGGGTCTTCTCCATTTCAGCTGGATACCGAATCAGGTGGGTCTTCTCCATTTCCTCCTGTAGGTTCCTAGGGGAAATGTGGGTTGAGCGCTAGACACCGAATCAGGTGGGTCTTCTCCATTTCCTCCTTTGAACACCGAATCAGGTGGGTCTTCTCCATTTTCTCCTGTAGAGAATCAGATGGGTCTTCTCCATTTCCTCCTGTAGGTTTCACATCAGGTGGGTCTTCTCCATTTCCTCCTGTAGGTTACAGATCAGATGGGTCTTCTCCATTTCCTCATGTAGGTTACATATGGTGGGTCTTCTCCGTTTCCTCCTGTAGGTCACATAGACAGGTGGGACTTCTCCATTTCCTCCTGTAGGTTACATAGAGTATGTGGGTTGAGTGTATACTCTCAATCTGTGAAGGTGTTTTGATACCAATCTGTGAAGGTGTTTTGCCAAGCAATCGTGTCCTGTGCGTAGTCTAATCTCAGCAAAGACTTCGATTCTTGGCCAGTCGGCTGTGTCGGAGAGTGCCACTGTCCACTGTTTCTCCTTTGTTTGAGCTTTAAATTCGTTGTACCTTGAGGTCTTGAATTCTCTCCTGATTAAGGCCTTCATTGTGTGGAAAGACATCGGCCGGTCCATGCATTGCAAAATAATACCTCGGTATTTCGCAATTCTGACACTCTCCCTTTTACTTTATTCAGCGACAATTAACAAGGAGCGTGAGGACCAGATGAAGCTACTCGACTCTCTACTCATTTGGTTTGGCAGTCTAATAGGCCTTCTTTCCGTAGGTGCTTTGGCCCTTGGGATTGCGCAGAGCCGGTGTAAAAATCGGGAAACATTTTTCAAGTGCGCTACTTAAAATATATTTTCTACTTAAAAAGTGTAGGTAGCTGTTAATGTGACCATTTACTTTTTTCTTATAGAAATTCCATGAAGATTGAAATGCCAATCTTGGATACACTCCACAATGAGCGGAACTGATATAATCATCAAACTTACTCCGAATATAAGATAAGTAGTTATCGTTTCGCGTTGTGTGCAAAATAAGTAGATAACTTAAATTCAGAAAAAAGAAATTTGTTCAATTTTTATTTGGATTTGTTATCACTTAAATATGTAACAATATAAATACTGTGATAAAAAATGGTAAATGAAAATCGAATCTTGCCTCAAATATTTAAACAAAATTAGAATCAATACGCTTATATTGAAAAATCGTCACACCTAAATAACTCGCTATTTATTTATTTATATCAATTGGTAGGCGTTTTGATGGTTATCATTAGCCCTTTAGTTGACTTCAGGCTTCACAGTGGGGAAGGAACATCAAAGTGAAACAAATCGAGAGGAGGGGAACTGAAGAGTGTTTCAAAGTCGAAGGTTAAAAATTTAGAACCAATGTGATGTAGCACTGTGGAAGTAGTCGGTGGGGTCATGGTGGTTTGAAGTCAACTGCCGGTTAATAGACATGGTAATTGAAGTCAGAAGTCAACTGCCGGTTAATAGACTTTTGCCGTATGAGTATACGTTGCCCAGGGTGCACCACGTGAAGGTAAGTCTATCGCACACCCCAAAATTACTCACTATTATAAATAGTTACTATTGGGTTTAAAATATTGCATATGAGGCAAGAAACAACCGCCATAGTTTAGATGACAAAGGATACGAAGGCTTGTGACCTATATTGGTTATAAATACTGTTATGAGGAGCTGACAGCACAAAGCTGCCATGTTGGTGGTCAAGTGAGATGGCCACTCCAAATTTTCTCAGTTTTTGCAATACAAAAACAATTTGTATTCACTTATGATGTCTTCGTTTAGTGAATAAAGCACCCCGAAGAAACTGAACTTACCTTGTTTCTCTTTGGATCTGGATTAACTTTAGCGAAAAATTATCCAGTGAGAAAATAACAACAGCATTACTAGACCTTCAAGCATTCTGAGCAGATCAGAAAGGTCACAAATTTCAGTAAGGACTGAGGAGTTCTCATTTAAATACTTGACAAATGGGAAGTAGATTGACTTTTGGCTTTCTATCAAAGGCATACCTGGTAAATGGCAAGTTTTATTTGATGCCTGTCAGTCAAGCAAAAGAATCAACCCAGTCATTTAATTCAACTGGATATCAACCGACATACTTTTGGTAGAATAGTAAGATGTTGAGTAGATTTAGAAGCGAAAACTGTTTCATAACAGGACGATTGACTTTGCACTTTGAACAACGTAAAATTCCATCAATCACCTCCGGTCTAAAGTTGGAAGACAAATAAGCGGCCAGGGTTGTTAATGAGAGATCCAAAAAAGGATCGAATGTGGAAGACTTGTGAACACACCCCTGTTAGGAAATGACAGATTCCAGGTCTCAAAAAATCCCTGGTGGACTATACAATCACAGATGGTGTCCGACAGTGCAGGATGTGGATTAGCAGTCGCTATTCGGTTGCTGTTAGTATTAATGCCATCAACAATTTCCTTACGATCTAAGGAGTTTGAAATAGGAGAGTCTGGTATACTTCGTTTATCTATCTCACCAATCGCACTAGATGTAATCGAGGAGGGGGAATACTTCCCCTTCTATTCCTCTGGGGAAGCACTTGAGGGAGGTGAATAGTATCTATTTCCATCATTCCTCAACATATTGCTATTCAATCAACGACGTTTGGTCGATTCCACCCCTTGCAGGCGCTTTGATAGTTACAATAGCTCTTTATCTGACTTCTGGCTTCCCAGAGAGGAGGAGGATCATCAAAGTGACAAAAGATCGAGAATGAGGACAAAATACTGATTCACAGATGTGAAAGAGACAGACAGACAGTCACACAGATAGATAAAAGGTGAGGTGAGTACTGTGTAAGTAGTAGAATATGACATACAGTGGGTTTCACATAAGAAAGAATTTCGAAATCCTAACGTGACCTCTTAATCACATCCCCCTATTCAACTCATCAGCTTTATTCCATTTACTAATGTACTTATCCCCCTCTCTGCCTTTTTTCTATCTTCCTCTTACACTTATGGTTGCCTAAAACACCCATGATCCACCTGGTCTTCCAGATATTCTTAAAGTAGTAATTACGCTGAATGGTTTTAGTACTACTTTCAAATAAGTGCTTTTACGGACCTGAAACCATGTCAAAAGTGTGTTCTCCATCTCACACTCAAGATGCTGTTTTAGGAAGACCTACTTAAGAGACAACTCTTATTTTACTTAAGCTAAGTCGTCTTCACCTTCGGGTTCAATCGTGTTTTCATCGGGTACACCTGTCGACTTGCTGTCACTTGTCATGGAATGAGAAACAATGCATCTTTCGAATTGATGCTTTCCCAGCATTCTTCTCACTCAGTCTCATCTCGCAATCAATATGAGTGATACGTTGGAATTTCAATAAATATTGAAAGATTAAGATTATTTGATATAGGCTAACAGAAGATATCCTACTTTGCTTTGATGTTAACTTCTGTACGCACATATTTTCATTATGATTAAAAGGATTTAATTATCGGAATTAAGCTCTAATAAGTTGGAATTAAACTTGGCAAGTGGTGGAATAAGGGATGATATTGCTTCTTAAAATAGATTTGAATTACTGGAATGAAATCAAATCTTTATTTGATGATGTGTTCATCTCGTAATTAACAAAAATTTATTTTTTTATATCAAATGACAGGCGTATTAATAGTTATCATTAGCCCTCTTGTTGACTCCAGGCTTCATATCAAAGTAAACAAAGGTCGAGAGGGGGGGGGGAGACAGAAGAGCGTTTCAAAAATATAAAAAAGACAGACACAAAGGCAGAAAAAAAGGTGAGGTGAGTATCATGATTTGTCGAATATGACATACAGTGGGGTGATGATTGTTTGAAATCAGAAGTCAAATGCCGGTTAATGGACTTTTTGCCATATGAGTATACGTTTCACAGGGTGCACCACGTGGAGGTAAGTCTATCGTACACCCTAATCAACAGTAATATATTATATGTTTCTAATAGTAACAAAGATTATTTCCAAAAGAATGCATAATTTTCCAAATCTTGCAGTTTGAAGTTTGCAAAGTGTGAAACATCTTTGTTTCAATTTAGCCAATGTAAAGCCCATTATTCTATTCCAGTCCTACAACGCTATGAATTTCTGCCTCTGATTGGATAAGAGGGCTTACCTTGTCACGTGTTCTTTTGTCTGTTAGGATTGGTTGTATTTTACTGTTTCGGACAAACACATTGGGAAAGCGTAAAGAATAGTAACAGATAAGCAAAATGCTGCGTACCTTTCTGAGGACATGCACAAATAGGTGGCAGATTCGCACTTCACCAATTTTCCTTCGAATCACTATGACGTAAATCTTGATGTTCTACTAAAGAGAGTAGATAGATTTCGCTGTTTTAGTCATGGGATCTTCTTGGCTTATTAGATTCTTCAATAATTTGTACAAACTATCTCTCCTCGTTTCGCAAATAGGAATTTAAGGTTATGAGAACAAAGAGAGACTTCTCATGACTGCCGAAATATTATAAAAAATTCGAAGTTCCCTAGGTGCTCGCATTGTCGATAGACTAGGTAGTATTCTTCTCTTAACAGCTTGATATATAGACTAGAAAAAGCGAAAATCGTTCTTACAGTGAGTTGTTCCTCAATAATAAATTATAAAGAATTAGTCCCTTCAAACAAACGGACTATATTGATGATGGAATACTTCATCGTTCTTCATGCAGAATCTTGGTGAACTCCAAGCGTGGTGGCATTGGTGGACTTTCTAGATATTTCTTTAAACGTTTTATTTGCTATGATGAAAAATTATATTCGCGTATTTTGGTGTCAATCAAAACTCTCTCCAAACGATAAAATTAGTCTTCATTGATTAGTGCTTTGTACCCAGTAACTCAGATTTTGAGGATGAAATTCAACGATTCATAGGTTACAGGACATGTAATAATTTTAGGGCAGTCATGCTCTGTCTTTGCTAAGTTTTCAGTAATTGTTTCAGGGAGTTTTTATAAAAGGTGTTTAAGTGGATTATTTCCTGTATGAATTACCAGCCAACTGCACTATCTCAGCAAAATATAATACGATCCTTTTGAGTTAGCCCCTAATACTTTGAAATCCTTGGTGATTGCAATACTTAGGCATTTTAATGGACGTAGATAAGATTAGAACTAAATGGAGCGTTTATTTCGATGTAAAGTTTGGTCGAAATGCGAAAATTTCCTCTCACACGCACACACACACACACGCACATCAAAGGGCTCAATGGCCTTTGTGAAATTCGGCGCACGGAGACTGGTTGTTTTATTCTATTATAATGAAAATAGCACACAGCTGCGTACACATAATTATTATTTCAAATAAAGCATCACATTTCAATGTTTATTCATTACAGGAAAAGTTGAAAATGCAGCCCTTTTATTCACAGCAATTTGAGGAGCATACAGGTGTGAAAAGGCGAAACAGTGGAATAACCCTGGAAGATTGAATCAAGCGCGGTAGTTGATTAAACCAGAGTGACTAAAGTCCGGATCTATAGAGCGTCTAAATGTTACAAATTTCACTTTTCAATATTTATTCCCTTGGAGAGCGCGATAAACGTACCTCCATGTGATGGACCCTGGGCGGCGTATACTCATACGCAAAAAGTCATAAACCGGCAGTTGACTTCTAACTACCGCGACTAAACTGTATGTCGTATTCGACCAATTCCACACTACTCATCTTAGCTTTTTCTCTACCTTTATGTCTGTCTGTCTGTCTCTTCAACTTCTCTGAATCACTCTTCTGTTCCCCCCCCCCCCGACTTTTTGTGACTTTGATGTTCCTCCCCTCTGTGAAGCCCGAAGTCAACGAGAGGGCTAATGATAACTATCATAAAGCCTGCTATTTGAAATAAATAAATGATAGTTATCATTAGCCCTTTAGTTGACTTCGGGTTTCACGGGGGGAGGAACATCAAAGTCACACAAAGTCCGGGAGGGGGGGGGGAGGAACAGAAG